TCTTCTTCTTCTTCTTCTTCTTCTTCTTCTTCTCCTCCTCCTCCTCCTCCTCCTCCTCCTCCTCCTCCTCTTCCTTCTCAACTCAGTAACTTGCTCTTTTTGAATAAGTTAATTCCCCTTTTCCAGTTTCTATTGTACCAGGAGAGGAAGTATGAAAAAGAGATTTATCTATGTATGTAAGCAGGATGGTTTGGAAAACTTTACTGTGCGTTTCTGTGGGTCTATGGAAAGAAACACTTAATGCTTTAATTTATTTTGTCTCTTTTTTCAGTTGTTTGTACTTTTTAATCTTCATAATTTCTTATACATTTCTTTTTTTCTGTCTTCTTCCAATATTACATGCATATATCTGGTAATATGAATAACTTATTGGAAGACAACACTATGTATTACAACAAATAATGTAAAATTCATATTATTTTGTTAAATGAAATTCTGTATCACTTGTAATTTTTTTCAGTTTGAGCTCTAATTTGTACTCTCTTTAAATTTTTTTTAAAATAAAAAAGTTCATTCTTTCTCTTTTCAAAGGTTGACACAAGAGGTATTTGTAACTTTCATCAGGCAGGCTCTTTGCAAAGCCTAAAAGTAAAGTCTGCACTTACATAAATAGTGAGTGAAAAGTTATTCTTTTCTAGTGGAGCAAAAGAAAAGTTTTACTGTCCTTGCCTCTTGAAAAACTCACAGCTTTAAGATGGTTATACTGAAATCTTCATGATAGCATGGACAATGTCTGTTTTTTTCACTGTTCTATCAATAGCAGGTATTCACTAAACTGGGTCACTGATTGAATTAAATAGTACTGTTTAACAGATTTATCAATCATGTAAAACAAATACTGGACATTTTTTATGCTACTATTATAATATACAGTACATTAATTCAGCACATAGAAAACTACACATGGGTGTTGTATACATGAGTTAGAGATAAAATGCGATATATATAGTCTTTGACTTAAAGAGGCTGAGTGGAATAGGTTGAGTGTGGAACACATACACATACAACTATGGAATAATGAAGAGCTCTCCCTTTCCAAAGTTTCTTGTACAGTATTTGTAGCTCATCCTTGGTTTCTTTCTCTCTCTTTTCTTTCTTTTTCTTTTTTTT